GGCTGGCCAGTAGCAGATGGGTAGAGAATGTTTGTGTGAACTAATTGAAAAAAAAATGAACAAGTTCCTATGCACACTCAGAGGCGGCCCTAGGTAATTTTCAATGGTAAGCAAACAGTATTTTGGCGCCCCCCCCTCCCCCAAAACCAATCTCTATCTATCTATCTATCTATCTATCTATCTATCTATCTATCTATCTATCTATGGGGGCATGGACAAATTTTGGCCCTCCAGGTATTTAGGATTTCCTACTGGCTGTTTGGAATTGTGGGAATTGAAGTCCAAAACACATGGAGGGCTGAAGTTGGCCCATGCCAGCCATACATACACACACACACACACTAGCCATCCCCTGCCACGCGTTGCTGTGATCCAGTCTAGTGATCTTGAAAAGAAAGTAATAAGAAAGTTGGTTTCTAATATATGTAATTTCTTAATGCTTGTGGGTAAATAGTATTTCTTGTTGTTTCTTTGTCAGTGTTGATGTAGTTCCAACACAAAATACTGAAGGGATTTGGGGAAAATAGACTCTGATACTGGAGGGGTTTTGGGGAAACATGTACAATAATTTAGATTTGCAGTACCTTCAGTCACTTCCGTTCATGAAGAAACCTCCTTGCCGCCCTGAGAGGGGTGATGGCACAGCTGCCTGGAGAGGCACTTGCAATGCTGCCCCTCTTCACATAGGAGAAGAGGCCCTGTGCTCCATCGGCTCCTGGGTATGCGCTTTGCATTCTCTTCCCCCACACGCTTTGCAACTCCGGGAGAGGGACACGCGCCGGCATTACCAGGCGCACGGAAAAAGAGCCCTCATGCAGGGAGCATGCTCTCCCTCCATCCTTCCCTCACAAGTGCGCACGTTGTCCTCCTCTCCTCCTCCTCCTTGCAGGCCAAGGGAGACAACAACGCCAGTGTGCATCCTTCTCCCAGCGTTAGGAAGTGCATGGAGAAGGAGGGCGATGCAGGGCGCACATTTCCTAATGCCGAGAGAGGGATGCGCAGCGGCATTGCCGGGCACGTGGGAAAAGAGGCCTCGTGCATGCCTCTTTTGTGTTTCATCTTGGGTGCTATCTTTGAAATGTGTCATTGTGTATGTAAACAGCTATCCCATGATCCCAAACATTTTATTTATTTATTTACAGTATTTGTATACCGCTTTTCTCACCCTCAGGAGGACTCAAAGTGATTTACACACTTCTAGTTCAAAGCACTTTGGATCAGGGATACTCAACCTGTATTACATTACAAACTGCTAGACCGGCTGTTAGGTATTGTGGGAGTTGAAGTCCGAAACACCTGGAGGGCTGAAGTTTGCTCTTGCATGTGCTTGACCCAGAAGCAGATGAAGAGCCCTCCTTCCATCCAACTGCCACTGCTTTGGCCTTGGAGAAACAGGTGGCATGTGAAGCCATGGAGCCCTTCCAGACAGGCCCTATGCCGCATTATCACAGGGTGTTTACGCCCTACACCACTGGAAAAATTATACTGCCTAGCCGGTATTGCGCCACCTGACATCCGCCGGGAAGTGGCGGCCAATAGTGAAAGGACCAAGGCAGAGACATCTCCAGCTCATCCCCTGTTTGGTATCAGCCAGCACGTCAACGACTTAAATCTAGAAATAGTTTTCTAAGATCTACAGAGACACTCGCTGGAACACCTCAGCAAGCGAGAGTCCAAAAGTGGCAGGCTCAAACCCAGAACCTCAACCAATGGCTGATACCAAATGAGAGACTCCCCCTGGGCACACAGAGGACTGGGCGACTTGGAAGGCGCTGAACAGACTGCGCTCTGGCACCACGAGATGCAGAGCCAACCTTCAGAAATGAGGCTACAAAGTGGAATCCACGACATGCGAGTGTGGAGAGGAGCAAACCACTGACCACCTGCTGCAATGCAACCTGAGCCCTGCCACATGCACAAGGGAGGACCTTCTTGCGGCAACACCAGCAGCACTCCAAGTGGCCAGATACTGATCAAAGGACATTTAATCAACTACCAAACTCACACATTTTGTATTTGTTTTGCTTTGTTCTGTTAGAAATGTAACATAATTTGACTGGTTGTTCTGACATGACAAATAAATAAATAAATCCCAGGTTTTCAGCTTTAAACTGGATCATATGAGTCCACTCTGCCAGATAATCCAGGATAAACAGAAAACCTGCAATCACATCCTGGGATATAGGGCCTGTCTGGACAGGCCCTTCATCCCTTCCCACACTGGCATCCCTTTGCCTTTGTGTCATGTTTTAATTAAATTATACACCTAAGGGCAGGGGAGCATTTTGTTGTTGCTTTACTCGTACAGTGACAGTGTTACACAGTTGGTGTTCTGCAACCACTGCTTCAACCATCCATGGTTTGAAAACATTTTTTTAAAAAAATCCCAAAGCAGTCTTTGATTTTGCCACTTTGTACTGTGGAAATATAAATATAGAGCTCCATAGTGTCTCGTCCAACAGCAGTTGGGATTGAGCCCTGGAACTGATGGAAGGATAAGTGGAAGGACAAGAGTTAGCAACCCAAAAGACACTGCTGCAAAATGTAATTGCTAAAATATCAAAGTCAAAATATTATCCAAATTTAAACTATTCGGCCAGCAATGGAAAGGAATCACACAGGATCATATTTTTGCAGTCCATTAAGTGTGTTGATGACAAATCAGATAAAGGAATACTGGGGAAATTAATATAAAGCAGTGTGTATAAAGGGACATTACATTTGGTAATTTAATGCAGGCTTTAAAAGGTTTTAAAGATCAAGTCAGGGTCTGCTGCAGTTTTTAGTTTTGGATATGTTTTTTATGGATTTTAACTGAATTTTTAAAATACCAATGATATTTAATTCCATTTTAATGTTTGCATATTTGTGGATTTTAGACTGTACTGAAATGTTTTTAATCTAAGCCAACTTGAGTCTTCTTGGGGAGAGAAAAAGCAGGGTATAAATAAACATAATAATGTGTTGTGGAAGGCTTTCATGGCCAGAATCACTGAGTTGCTGTGAGTTTTCTGGGCTGTATGGCCATGTTCCAGAAGCATTCTCTCCTGACATTTTCCCCACATCTATGGCAGGCAACCTCAGAGAAACAAAATCTGGCTACCAGTACCCTCTAAAATAACCCTCTAAAATCAGAACAATAAATAAAGAGCAACACTAAAAAAGGGGGGGAATTCCTGACATGAAGCAATCAGGGCCAGTTAACCTCTCCCAACAAAGGATTCCTGGGCAGCAACTAGCTCAGCTTCGAAGCTGCAAGGCCATTAAATACTCATCAAGATGACCAATTGCAACATTCACACTTACCTCAAGCAGACATGAGTTCTTTTTCCCACCCTGGACATTCCACAGATATACAAACCCCACTTGCCTAGTTACAAACAGACCTCACAGCCTCTTGAGGATGCCTGCCATAGATGTGGGTGAAACAGTCAGGTGAGAATGCTTCACCAAGCACCAAAGAGCATTCTGAACTCCACCAATAATAGAACTGAACCAAACTTGGCATACAGGACTTCCATGACTAACAGAAAATACTGGAGAGGGGGTTGGGAAAAATAGACCCTGACATTTGGGAATTGCAGTTTACCAAGCACCAAAGAACATTCTGAGCTCCACCAACAATAGAATTGAACCAAGCTTGGCATATAGGACTTCCATTACCAAATACTAGAGGGGTTTGGGGGAGGCATGTACAAAAGATGACATTTGCAGTACCTTTTGACCAGGCCTCCTTGCTGCCCTGAGAGGGGTCCAGGCTCAGCTGCAGGGAAGGAAAGGGAAAGCGAAAGAGCCTGGCTGGCTGCCTCCCTCCTGGCAGCACGTGGAGGGAGGACTTCCCTCTCGCCTAGTGGGCGGGGCCTGCGCTTCTCCATTAGAAGGCTGTTGAGGGCGCATGGGGCCTGCAGGAGGAGGCGTGGCCTAAGGACAAAACAGCGCCCCCTGGCAAAAAAAGTATTCTGCGACCGCTTACTTCGAGTAATGGACGGGCCAGCCCTGTGCACACTGCACGTAGAACAATTTGAGCCAACATAAACTTAACAGTATTTCAGTGGAAGACCCTAGGGGCCATTCAGTCCAACCCTCTTCTGCAATGCAGGAGAAACACAAATCAAATCACCCTCAACAGATGACCATCCAGCTTTTGAAATAATAATAATAATAATAATAATAATAATAATAATAGCAACTCCAAGGGCCCCCAGTCCAACATGTTTCTGCCTTGCATTAAAAACACATTCAAAGTGGGCTTGCAGGTCATGGCGGCAGCAGCAAAGAGGCCCCAAATGCTTATTTGTGTCAGGGGGAGGGGCATCTTCCTGCCAAAAATAAAATGTTACGATGGATTTTGTTTACCTGGTGCAATTCTAAATTTGAAGGCATTTTGTTTTGAAGCAATTCCAGACATAATGATACAGTTGATAGTCCATGGGAGTGTGCCACAAAGCAAGCAGTGTAGGCCCTACCTCCGGACCTAACTCCTTCAGGGCCCAAATAAGGGGCTTCATAAATTAACTAGCACAGAGTCTCATTTGTCCTAAATCCAGCACTGTGGGGAGGTATGGCATGCTTAACACTTAAAATCTACCTATAGAATATTAGCAAATCAAGAAGCACATCACAGAACAATGCAAGGTGGGATCTGAGGATGAATGGAATCTGAGGATATTTCCATCCACACCATTTCATAATGCTTGAATTTAGGGAAATATTACAAAGGAACAGATGTTTTCTCCCAGAGTAGGAAAAAACCTACCATAATGATTCATTCTCACATGCAAAGTAAAGATGGTTAAGGATTTATATCCCTGTTTTAGGAGGGTTTATTGGCGTGTCTAAATAACAGCATTTTCCTGGCTGTTCAACTGAAGTAGAAAGTGTTACAAAAGTGACAGACTTAAAGCATCTCCAGTTGAAAAAAAATCATTTTTTTATTTTGCATTTTCTATGGCTTGTAGAAAATCACAAAGGTTTCCTTGTCTCTTTTATTCCATCCCCAGGAATTCTTTCGTAGACATTTTACGGGCCATTCTGTTGTCCTTAGAAGTTCTCATTGAAGATCAAGAACTTCAGATAAATGGCTTCATTCTAATTATAGACTGGAGTAATTTCTCCTTCAAGCAAGCCTCCAAATTGACACCTTCTATCCTCCGACTGGCCATTGAAGGCTTACAGGTATGTCAGCAGCATATGATTCTGTAAGAAATTATTTATATTTGTGCACGGAGAGGAGAGAAGAAGAAATACTTGCATAGCTGAGCTTTATTCCATCAATGTTTCCCCTGTTTGTTTATTTCCTGTTTTCATTGCACTGTTCTTAACACAGGGCCTGTACGACTTACTGCAGCAATTAAGAATAATGTTTAGAGATTTGAAATTTAATCCACATGAGACTTCCTGGGGATTAAAACTTGCAACATCTGTCTGATGAAACACATGCCACCCCTACGTGGTGCTTATGCATGCATGCTGTGTGGTGGAAAAATAAGCATCCAGTGACACAGCTGAGCGTCAGTCATGTCTGGAATGCCAAAGGGCCAACTGGTTTGTTTTGTTTTTGTTTTTTTCAGAGTAAAATTAGTGTGAACAATTACAGTTGGTAGAGATCTGTTGCTCATATCTCTGCTAGGCGATTTATGAACAGATTTTCCTAGAACTCTGTAAACTACTGTATATTCTCATGTATGAGTCAGCCTCATGAATAAATGAGGGGGAGATCTGGGGAGACAAAATTTTGCATTTTGATGTGACCTATGGATAAATTGGGGGTCATTCCATGTAGATGAAAAAGCAGCAATGCTGTTTCAGAGGCCAGTTGACCCCTGGCTGCCATTGCCATATCCCTGTTCTGGCATTAAAAATGCCAGGTGTGGTGCCATGGTGGAGAGAGGGGGTCATTGCCTTTCTCCACTCTACTACGAGAAGGAGATCCTTTATTTTAAGAAAGGGTCAGAGGACTTACATGGACCCATGGATAAGGCTCTGGAGGTTGATGGCTTGACTAAAATTTCTAGATTGGTATAAAGCAGTGTTTTTCAACCTGGGGGTCGGGACCCCTGGGGGGGCCACCAAAGACCATCAGAAAACACAGTATTTTCTGTTGGTTAGGGAGTTATGTGTGGGAAGTTTGGCCGAATACTCTAGTTGGTGGTGTTCCGAATACTCTTTGATTGTAGGTGAACTATAAATCCCAGCAACTACAGCTCCTAAATGTCAAGGTCTATTTTCCTCAAACTCCACCAGTGTTCACATTTAGGCATATTAAGTATTTGTGACAAGTTTGGTCCAGATTCATCATTGTTTGAGTCCACAGTGCTCTCTGGATATAGGTGAACTACAACTCTCAAGGTCAATGCCCACCAGACCCTTCCAATATTTTCTGTTGGTCATGGAAGTTCTGTGTGCCAAATTTGGTTCAATTTCATCATTGGTGGAGTTTAGAATGCTCTTTGATTGTAGATTAATTATAAATCCCAGCAACTGTCTCAAATGACAAAATAAATTCTCTCCTGACCCTACCAGTATTCAAATTTGGGTGTATTGGGTATTTGTGCCAAGTTTGGTCCAGTGACTGAAAATGCATTCTGCTCATCAGATATTTACACTTACAACTCATAACAGTAGCAAAATTACAGTTATGAAGTAGCAATGAAAATAATGTAATGGCTGGGGGTCACCACAATATGAGGAACTGTATTAAAGTGTTGCAGCATTAGGAAGGTTGAGAACCACTGGTTTAAAGGGTGTGAGCATGATTGGACCTAATTTCAGATTCTGTCATAATTCTCACTGTGTGTGTTGAATAGTGTTATACACTAAAAACAACCCTCTGACTTTTTTTTCTCAAAAACATTTGCATTCCCCAGTCTGGGCTGGATTGTTGGGAAACTTTCTTGGGAATTAAAGATTGCAGCAAGAAGGTAGTTCCAAAATGTTGAATTACTGATGAGTGATGTGAAATGTTTGTATAATCCAACTCATCCTTGGTATCTCAGAAATAAATCCAACTGAATACAGTTAGGCATACTCCAACACATAAGATTTCAATCTAAAGCAGCATTCTTTAGAAGCAGGGATGGTTGGTAGAGTCTATGTCCAAGAAATCCATTCTGGATTTTAGTCCAAACTTTAAAGGAGCTATCCCAGGTGAGGAACATGTTTCAGGGATAGGATTCAGTTCTCTGGAGAGTTATTTAACATTTGGGAATAAAAAGGAAATGCTAAAGAAATGACCTTTATTTGCTAAAAAGTCTGAAGGCTCTGAATACTCGCTAGGCATTCTTCCCGGGGTAGGGTGGGGCTATGCACAAAAGGACAACCTATCTTGAAATGTGTCACCTTTTTATGGACTGCATATGATGCTTTTAGAGCTCTCAGTGGCGCAATGGGTTAAACTCTTCTGCCAGCAGGACTGCTGACTGAAAGGTCAGTGGTTCGAATCCAGGGAGTGGGGTGAGCTTCCATCTGTCAGCTCCAGCTTCTCATGCGTGGACATGAGAGAAGCCTCCCATGGGATGGTAAAACATCAGGGTGTCCCCTGAGCAACATCCTTGCAGACAGCCAATTCTCTCACACTAGAAGTAACTTGTAGTTTCTCAAGTCTCTCCTGACACAAACACTTTTGGCAGTTTCTAGGTTTTGGGGTGTGGGAGGGCTTTGTACTTTAAAATTTGATCTAAAATCCAGAATAGATGCAATAATGGTGAAATTCTCCAGCTACCATTGTTTGGAAGCATTTCTGAAGCCCTCTCCTCTACATCATTGAAAGAAGGTCAGCTTGACATACTCCCCAGACACTTGAGCAGTCTGCTTCTAGCAGCTGTTGAGATGTAAGGTAAAGTGGAGTATTCTCTGAACTGTCAAGGAGAACTTTGAAAAGAGACTAGGGATCTATTGTTTGCATATAAAATAAAGGAGTTGGAGCAGACTTTGCTTATAACAAGAGAAAGCCCGTCTTGGATATCTGTCTGCAATTTTCCCCAAACAGAACTGGAGTGAAGGAAAAGGAGGGGAAAGAATGTAGATTTTTGTTATCTGGATAAATTATTTGCTGTTTCCAGGAAGAAAAATGTCTGAAATATAATTAGAGTTTTAAACCCCATGAAATTTTAATTGTTTATCTGCAACAGCTGCTCTAGGGATTATTAACCTTTTTCTTTCCCTAGTGTAAGTGTTTCCTAAACCTGGGTGTTTCCTAAACCTAGTGGTTACCATGCTTGGCCTGCTCCCAGTGACATGTGAAAGTTTACCTGGGGTTATAACTGTATATGTACATTTTCATAACTTGCTAAGAGGAGGCCTTGGTACCTCTTGCTGTAATGTTCAAGGAAAATGGTGTAAAGTAGAAATTGGATTTCAAAACAGTTTTGGAATTGTCACGTCCGTGATCAGGTTAGTTCTAGTGGTCTATTATTTCGGACATTATTATTTGTATCCCGTCCTATCTTGACCTCCGCAGAGGGACTCAAAATAGCCAAAGGGTTGCRAGGTGCAACGTCATGTTTRTGCCTGCTAGTCAGTTGCAGGTGTTCACCTGATCTTATTCTAACTGCTCTTGAGCAGTGAAGGAGAAAGGAGCAATTTTACACAGCTCCCCCCCCCCCCGCCCCCGAATTCAGGAGCAGCCAGAAGGAACCTGGGTATGAAGCCCGGGCCAAATATCAGCTAGGGACTTCATCACACTTAATAAAATCAGCATTTCTAGACATTTAACGAACGGTTATTGATGATGCCTATTACATGACACAAGCTTGTAAAATGGGTTCCAGGTATTTCACTGTTTCTTAAGTGTGGGTTTTTTTTCTATGCTTCCTAAGTCAATTTAAAAGTACTTCTACTATAACAAACACAGAGGATTTCTTCAAGTAAAAGAAAACGGGGGAGGAGAATATCTCCCATGTGATGGGAAGGCAAAGTGATAATTTGAAAAGAAAGCTGAACAAAGGAAAACATGTGATGGAGGTAGGAAAATCATTCGTTAATTTCCCAAATGGAGCATTGTGAAGCTTAAGGGAAAAACAATCCCCAACACTTTACTTATTGTGTGGGATGAAGTTCTAGGAAGCTGAAGTACCTCAGGCAGGCATGTAGCTGGGGGGGGGGGGGGGGGGGGGGGGCCCTTGAGGGGCTTCAGCCCCCCCCCCGAAATTCTCATGGTGGTTCGCGAAAAGGCCCTTACTGGTGCATTATTTAAACTGTTATGTTTATTCATATCATGATCTGATCACCATACTCAATATATCCCATATGCATGGGGGTATTGGGGTAACGATACGAAAAGTTTGCAAGGGTAGACCCTCTTTCACTCATACTCAGCCCCCCCCCAAACTCCCCCGCCCCCCCCCCCCCCAGGAAGCATGCCTCAGGAAGCATGTTCTCGGGGCTGTAGCAATGTTCTCCCATCACCCTCTCTGTTGGAGGACAGATATGTGTATCACAGAAGCAATTCCACATCTTCTGAACTGGCCTTCTGCTCTCTAGCGCTGTGCGCTGGGTGTCCTAAAATACTATCACTTGAAGCAAATTTAAACCTAGAAAGTCTGTTCAGCCCAGGTATTATGAACAGTAATTCTAATTTAGTGGTATTAGGATGCTTTCTTCACTAGCACATCTGGAGGGTTGTGTGTGGGAAAGATATCTGGGGGATAGATATTCACCCGATGATATTATTTCAAAAAGGTGTAAAGTTGCACTCATAAATACACCTCAATAAAGAATAAAAATTGTGTTGTACTTGCTTCAGAATAAATATACAATTGCATATCATGTTACCCATTTGCAGACATAACTGGCAATGTATCCATCAAATATGGTTGAACAAAAACATCCATCAGCCCGTTGGCATAGTCAATAGAGAGGAGTGCTAGATATTGCAGTTTGACAACATCTAGAGAGCTGGTCACATTTTTTTTCCTGGAAATTTGGTAAGTCTTCAAGAAGATTTTGGTTCATAAAGAAGGTGTAGGTGTAGGCCCTTCCAGCGTGGCTAGGTGAGCAGATTGCATTTGTCCCTACACTTTAGAAGGGCATCTGATTGTCATGGATATTATATACACTGCACCCCTCTATTTTATTGCTTACAATAAATATAGTTTCCTAGTGATTATTACATTATCACACCTGACAGCATATAAAATACATATATTAACTTTCGTTTTGCCCTTCTCTCTTTTCTT